CAAACATGGAGAAGATGAAAAACGCACACAAAAAGTTTAGTTTAAAAACCTTAACAGAAGAAACCACCTAGCAGATCTAAGCATAGATGGAAGAATATTAACCCTTCAGCGTGGGAGCATTTAAATCCCAAGTCTATACCGTGCTGTGGGAGGAGTTTCTGCTTGGGAATTTAATTTTGAGCTGAAAGTGCATCATTTTACTTATATGGGCACAACTTCCCTATTAATTGATGAATTTTAGTGAAACTTTGAACAAAATGTTCACAACACACTATGCTTTATAGAACGGTAAAAAATTTACCTTAAAAGTTGAGTTTTGTGTGGAATATCTTGAAACAGCCATCAACACAGAGACCAGCCTCACAATCAGGACACCAAAACACTGTCATTCACGCACAGGTAAATCATCGATTACACTTGATTCATCATCTGAATCGAACACGCTACTTTCGGAATCAGTTAGAGGTTCGTCTACACTTCTAGCAATGTCTTGAGGAGACAAAAAACGCCTGCTACTCGAAGCCATAATCACGGCTGACTGACGGCAGATATGTACTATAGAATTCTGTTCATACCAAGGGGAGAACAGAGAATGCATTGACTAAGGTCGTTGACATCATATACCGTTAGAAAGCTTGGAATGTGTCCTACACAGCCGTCGTAACCTTAACTATATTACTCCATTTGTCTTCCCTAGAGAGAGCCACAAAGCAGAGGCTGAATGCAGTTGAGTTCAAAAATCGATCTATATTTCAAAGTCGAAAAACACTGGTAAAATCGATCTGTCAGAGTCATGTTATATATCAATCGATAGCCAGTTGTTTTCTCTACATGGCTACTGGATCCAGAATACATAAAATACAAGGTCAGTCGCTACGAAGAAGGAGAAGTCTTAGCGCGCATTATGCGAGCAGTGCTCGGCACTCCACGCCATGGGATGACTACGTCATGACGAGCGATGTTCGGCACTCCACGCTGAAGGGTTAAAATGTGCCTTAAGGAAACAGAATGGGAGGATATCAACTGGATTCATGTAGTTAAGGACAGGGACTGGTAGTAGGGTCCTGTAAACATGGTAATGAAATTCCATGTTTCACAAAAGATGAATAATCACATTAGATGAATGACTATCGGCTTCTTAAGGAGGATTCTCCTCCATTGGGAGAGTTAGTTATCCATAGCTTAATAGCTTAGTCTTAAATTGGGGTTATAGAAGTGCAGATATTGGACACAACAAAGATGGCAGTGCCTGCCTTCTACAGAATAATTACAGAAATGATGGTACATCAAATTATTATGCCTATTGTAGTTTAACCTTTATCATCCAAGCAATGCAACGTCAAGTGCATCTAAAATTGGGTTGCCCTAGAGCCTTTCATTTAGAGTAATTTCATAGGAGTTTTAAAACTAATTTCTTCATTTCTCTGTATGGTATTTCATTGTTTTGCAGCTGTGAAGGTATTTTTTATCAAAAAATTGTCTTCATTTCTCTGTATGGTATTTCATTGTTTTGCAGCTGTGAAGGTATTTTTTATCAAAAAATTGTCAACATCTAGTCACATGTTCATGACACTGTCACACATTTAAGGTCCTCCTTTAAGTGGCATTTGACATAGGCCAGAAGGTATATTAACAAATTTCCACAATAAATAGCACTTCACTCATGTGTTTGCAGTTTGCTGTTGTAAGATGATGAGGTGGTGGGTGGGTATTTGGGGAAGGGGATTACAGAAGATGTTGTGGGTGTGTTGCACTGATAGAAGATTTGAATGCAGAAACTAACATATAAATTCTAGTTACATAGAGGGATTTAGTGGGAAAACATACTTCTCTCAACAGAAAATAATTTTCCTCTTATTGTACGGGGTGAATTTTGAGAAAAATAATAGAAACTGTACAGGAGATAATTTTGGAGACTGACAGTAATGAAGCAGTCTCACTGAACAGTGAAAGTGAACTTGATGACAACAACAACATGTGGTAACAATAATGTGACTGGAAGCCAAGATAACATTTGGTAAGACCACAATGTTCATCACTTCTATTCAACATTTTATAGTAACATGATGAAATGCAATCAATTTTTTCATATACTGAGATTTCTGCAGCAACAGGAACTAACTAGACAATACTACAACAAATATGAGAGTCTTTGGAAAATAAGATCTTTCTTTGATGTACTCAATGACACCTATGGTAAATTTTACAATCCATCTACATATTTAACTGAAGAAAAAGTCACTGTACTGTTCAAAGGGACAGTTATTTTCAAGCAAATACACTCCCATGAAACAAACACTTTAGAACAAATATTTACAAACTTTGTGAGGTAATTGGCTACACTTATGATATTAGCACATACTTGACAGAGGACAGGCACACAGTTGATGACAAGAGACATACAAAACAGTGAAAAATCTCACTAAGAGAGTGGAAGGAGTTCACCAACTTCATATGAGCAAATTTTCCCCTCTGTGGATTTTAAGTCTAGCACACAAGAGCAATCAAAGGTTGTGGAACTGTCAGATAGAATCATGAAGGAATGCCTGGGAACCCTAATAATATGACACTAAAATGTAAATTGTTTAAATACATGCTAGGGTTACAGATGTCCTGCAAACAATTATTTTGAAAGGCAAGTGAAATGAGTGCACATTGGCAAAAATGCATAAATCATCAGTAGAAGACAACTTATTTCATGAACGCAAGAGAATTCATAAACCTGTCACTATTTAAGACAAAAGTCAACACCCACACACTTCATCTGATTTTCATTCAAAATTTGTTGGAAATGAGTGCAAGGTTGTCTCAACCTCAATCCAGCCCAAGACAAAGACCAAATCGACACACAAACTAACCAAAGATTCATCTTGATGCTCAGTACTAATACCATTACTAGTTAAATCCCAAGTTAAAATCTGGCCATGAACCCCACAGTATGGGTATTTAAATACGCTATTCCTGTGAATTAAAGTTAAATTCTACAGCTTTACCTTCCATATTAACAGCCTCAACTGATGCATCCTTGTTATCTCCACTACTATCACAGCAACGGCGCATTTTTTCCAGTCGAGGGCTCTCCTCGTCAGAGTTGCCCTCAGTAGCTAAATTACCCCGCCTCTTAGTTGCAGATCCTCCAGATAGAATTCGAGTTCCTTCTACCGAAATCACTCCGTCCACAGCCTCACAACTTGGTTGAATCACAAGAGACCTATGTTCAAGTGAAAGACAGAAATAGAACATAGAAGACATAAAGTGGAATTGTATACATTTAACTATAACCTTAAGTACAAATCCATACTATCCTTCAGTTTAGAACAACTGATATAATTTTAATCTGAAAAAAGTAAATACTGAAATATATACTTCACAATCGTAATGCATTCTTTATGTGTGCAGAACTAGACCCCTCATTTTGACAGACAAGTGGAAACTGAGAAAGTTTAAAAAAATAAGGGCTAAGAAGGTGGGGTTTCAGAAGCAGCAAGCACCTAAGGCAAGTAATTTGTAACAGAAAATATGGCACAACATCCCTGAAGGCAGTCATCTTCAAAGTACTGAGAAGAAGAATTGCATATAAAAGGGATGAAGTAACAAGGGTTGGAGAAAATTACATAATAAACAGCCTCATAATTTGTACTCTTCACACAGTACCATTACATTGAGGTTCAATAGGTTGGCAAGGTGGGGAAAGAAAAAACACACACAATGTACAGACCTGGTAATACAAGGGTGTTTCAAAAAGAAAGGTTACACAACACTACACATCAAATTAGTAGGAAGTTCTGGACCACCCACCACACATTCATCCAAGTGATGTCCATTCTCAGACCCCTGAGGCAGAACCCAGATGTAAACAACTGGCAACTGACAACGATTTGCAGCACACTGTCATTTCCTGGCTAGACACTTGACACCTTATTCCATGCCAGGATAGATGCCTTGGTGTCACAGTGGGACAAATGCTTAAAAATCTGTTGGAACTATGTAAAAAAGCAAAGTATACCAGTGTCTTCTTGTGTGTCATTACATGCATCTATGTATGAATACAATCCTTCACATAAGAGTGCTTTTCGAAACACCTTTGTACCATAAAGTGTGAGAATTATGGTAAAATACAGAAACACTTCAGTTAATTTTAAATGGCATACTCATGAACGTTTATTCTTAAGAGAACAGTGAACATTATGAACATACTTTTTTGTCTTCAATGCAGCCAGTTTAGCTGTAAGGGCTTCAACTTCCATTGTTAACTCATCATTACGATCTCGAAGTCCTGTGTTTTCAGCTTGAAGTTCATTAACTTTCTCAACCAATGGCAGGACCTGTTCTTTTTCATCACAGCCTTCCATTTCACCTAGCTGAGAATGCAAAAATACATTTCAAATAATGATAAAATACCAATCAACTTCAATCACTGAGCATTCACTAAATATTATTTACTGTATGCTTCATTAAAAAATGATAATTGCATATTACTATAGGCAGGTGCAAAAAGCTTTGGCAATTCGGGAGACTATCAATCCATTGCCATTACTACATACAAATTAATCAGTTCATATATTACTGGGTCATCCCACCTCATACCACATGGAGACCCCTGGGGTGTCTGACCACCATCACTCTTAGGGTTTCATCCACCAAAGGGGCTCTGCCCCATATAGTGGGCAAGTATCATTTTAGAGTACACTCAAATGGTATAACAGCCACAACATATATATCTTCCAGCAGTTGAACAATGCAGAAAGAGAGACCAGACCAGCCCTATATGCATTCGTTTCATGCACTTTATGCAAAAATGTTAACAAGACATTTAATTTAACAACACATGGGACAATTTGTAGTTATCAGCCTTCCATCATGGATTACATTGCAGTCTAGGTGGCAATGCATCACCCTATAATACTGCCAAACTGTTAACCAATGAGGGAGCAGCTCCATAGTATAGAGGTGTAAATCCCATTTCTGTACAATATAGGTTGAACTTACCACTAAGACAAATACTGCTTAAGCTGTGAAATGAATTTAAAATGTAATTTGCAGCAATTTCAGCATATGAGAAGTGTGTCAACATCCACAAGTTTAAAACATTTTAGTACTTAGAATATTACTGTATTTACTCATGTATAACATGCATGCATGAAAAACATGCACTGTTATTTTTGAATTGGAAAATTCAAGTGTAACACACTTTGAAATAAATAAAACACAAGTAGTGAAAAAAATGTAAAAAAAAAGATTATGTGATGTGATATGATATGTCTGAATATTAGGCAGGCACAGTGACCATTTACTTTTGCAGTGGTATTTTGTAATGAAACTGACTCAAACATAAATTTCATATCTCCATAATATAAATCATGATAGGGCCCACCTGACCAATCACATTTAACCAGACACTGCACAAGCAACATATTGGCAGTACTCATCATACACCTCCCACAATCTACCACTCTCTCTCTCTCTGTTAATGAGTGTCAACATAACCTAATGAAAATCAAATACCCTAATTAAAGCACAAACCTAAAATAATTTACTTGGATGGTAATGTTTCATAGTTCTTTGTGGTCTTTGAAGGACAAAGAAAAATTAAGATGCAAACTAATAATCTGTTTACTTTTTCCCAGATTAGGTTAGTAAGTTTATTACGGTTTTAGTTTTTCACTACATTAGGTTGGTTATTCAGTCTGAGTTCTGGATAGGCATGGTTACAGTATGTGGCTCTGATCACATGCTCAGCAAAATTTAGCTTTAAGAACACTGTGACATAATACACAGAATTACACCGTGATTGGTCAGATCGGCCTCAATGTTATTTGTATAATAAAAATGTGAAATTTGCAACGCAGATGCACTCATAAATGGCAATCAGGTACTGGCATGATTGTTGGCAGCTTTTCTTTGACAGCAAAGGAAAATCTGTAATTATGAATCAATATATTCAGTACATTCTACTGTGGGCAAAACAAAAAAAAAGCCACTTCCATACCCCCCTTTAAATATATGTAACCAGAACAAATAAGTGATTGAATGAATGGTTGATTGATTTCACATTTCCTGCTACAGCAGTCTTGGTTTATGAAGTGCTGCATTCATGATTACTGTTTTGCTACAAATAACCTGGATATCCTTGCCAAACATATAAACCCAAAGGTAAGCATTATTGTTTCCAGCCTAAACATAGGCCATTGCTGAGATCAGTGAAGTTCTGTTTCATCTGACAGTATATACATGCTACAAAGTGCAAAATATTCTACTACACATAATTACATTTATAAATAAAACAGGTCCAAAATGTGAATCAGTGTTTCTTTGAATCTTTCAACACAAAACAAAGCATTTAGTATGACTTTATCTTTGATAAAAATAACAAAATTTCTAAAGATAGTAAAGGCACTGAAAAGATACACACACGTTGCTGAAGTCCAGCCAAAGATTCTAATTCCTTTTGGACTTGTACCCTTGTTTCTTCTGACTTTAATAACTGCTCTGTCAAGTTATGGTTTTCCTTGTCCAAAACCTCATTGTCCTGAAAAATATTACAAGAATAAATACTTTAAACACAAATATTACTATGTCAATATACTCTACAAAACAAGAAATTGATAAGAAAAATACATACTAATGTCCATGAAGTGAAGTGCAAATCTCAAAGGGTCAATTTAAAACTACAACACATAGCTCATTAATATGTTTCTGTTAGCATACACAATGGTCTTCAGCCCTGAAGATAGACAGACTATGCTCCTCTGTAAGACTGGCAGACAACCACAACACAATATGGCACTACAACCCTGAATGCCACCATTTACATTCACATCGCAGTGAAAACCTTAATTCCTACACTTCTTTGGTTTTGACAAGCCACTCCACCTACCTTTGTCTTTCCACAGCTACACATCCCCTATTCCTTCAGATGTTTTTCCATCTTTAAATGTCACGTTTTTCCTAACCTGATGTTCCTATCTTAATCTCAGATTGTCACTGGCATTTTCCTTTAACACTCATATTCAACAACTTTCTAATTTTCTCTATGTTCATTCATAAAACACATTCATACCACCCACTCTGGTGTTTACCAACCATGCATCACATTTTACATGCAATCCAGCAGGCAGCTGCACATTGCACTACCATACTCCTAAACTGTTAACTCAAGAGATATGTCTGTCCAGCAGCCTTGTAGTACAGGGATTTAAATATATTTCCATATGATAAAGGTTGAATTCTACCTAATCACTTCAGTTCTTATTCCCTCCCTTTTGGTTTATCCTATCCTACTTAATAATCTCATATCTGCTGTTTTAGTCTGTTAATATTCTGCCTTCGTGCATATCCAAGTTTTCACTCGATTACATTAAGTTGGATGTGTGGTAACATTCAAACAGGCATATTTCCCATTCTTGAGCAATTCCTATTTCCAAAATATGTCCCTCATTAATTGGTAACATTTCCTTGCATTTCTCATTCTTTTTATGATTTATTATTATTATTGATGTCACTATTCTGTTCCTCTGTACTTAACACACTCCACTTTTTAGGTTTTCTTTACAGTTCTTGCTTCTACATGTCAGTCTATGTGTGTGTCTGTCTCTGTCATATCTTCCAATTACACAAACAAAAGCCACCTGCATAAACTAGGCAATCCTCTGAGCTTCCACATGGGGCAAAATGATTCAACAGACTTGCATTTGGTTTCCTCTTGTGTGCCTTGCCTTTATTCCCCCCACCCCTTCACCAAAGGCTTTCAAAATCTATGGTTTTGTCTTCATTAGGCTTGGAAAACTTGGGTTACACTACCCCGACCCCAGGACTGTACCCCACAGACTTTACCACCCATGGGGTTAGGCCATCTCCAACATGCTTGTTTTGTGATCACTCCTCCAGAGACCTTGCCCCCCACCCTCCAGGATTCCTCACCAAACATCAAAACAAGGTTTGCCACCCCTGACACAGACTTCCAAGGGCTTGGTCACCCATGGGGCAAGGCCATCTCTGTAGATTTATCACCCAGCCCTTTCCCCATCATGCTTCTTTCTCCCTGGACCTGTGCCCTGAAGATGGAGGCAGCAAGTAAACTTCGACCAGACTACACAGCACTACAATCCAAAAGACAGCCATCTTCATAATTACCACTCTGAGAGCCTCAAATCCTAAATAAATAAAGGAATAAATTAAAATGTTCTGAGAAAGGGTAAAAAAGTAGGAAATTTAAAACCTCAAAATAGGGAGGAAACAAAAAGTGTAAGAACCACTGGTGCATAGAATGCTTAAAAACACCAGTCCTGAACCATCTTCTAATATTATGAATCAAAAAATTTTCTGTGAAACAATGCATTTGTTTCCTAAACACCCTGAACATTTCACGGAGGAATAAAACTGTAGTAAAGGCGTAATACTTACCAACTGAAGAGAGGTAACTTGCATCCTCAATCGAGACTCCTCCTCCTCAAGACTGGCCACCCTTTTCTCCAGGGATAAGTTCTGGACTGCAAAGTGCTCTCTGTCTAATCCCAGCTGTTCTGATAGCTCCTTCAGCTGTTTGGCATGCTGTTGTTCCAAAAGCCTAACATGAAAAAAAAAATACATACACAGCTGCATACGTCTGGACCAATAAAAGCAGAACAGGAGAATTAAGGAAACCACAAAGTAGTGTTTCATAATTCATTGTCTTCCCGTAATATTGGCCGACTGAGATGAATGAGACAGGTTAACATATATGGAGTGATAAAGAATACATACAATATTTTGATCAAAAAATGTCAAGGTAAAAGACTACTTGGGAGACCTAGCCGTAGATATAAGAATATCTTACAGAAAAAGAGTGTGCGGATGTGGAATGCATCTGACTGGCTCAAGACAGAGTACAGTAAGCTTCTGTGAGTGCAGTGATTGAAAAACTTGTGGACTCCATATAAGCCTAGAACTTCTTGACCAGCTGAGTAACTACATAGTGCCTAACAAAGATTCTGTGACATGGATTCATCAGGTTTGTTTTATATTTCCAGTGCCTGAAAGTAGTTGACAAAGTTTCAAACTTCATACCACCACAATGTTTGTGTGAATAATACTGAACATAACAAATGTTACACATATTCAAATTTTTGCATAAAGTGTGCATATAGTGGTTCATCAGCAAATGCAATTAAATAGGGTGATAAATACAGATTTTGTGTGGTTGCTATGGGGATCAACATTAACCTTTATAATACAAAACTAGAGCATTTCAACCCCATACTTCACAGCTACCAAAGAGACTTCAACATTGGGTTTAATGGTATGCTACTGTAATGAATGACCAGCTGGACTACACATAAGCCATAACATAAAGAAAATACTGATTAAACAACACTATAATATTTTTCAGCAGAATTGGCAGCTGAGTTAAGTTCTGCTCTTTGTGAGTGACCAATCAGCACAAAGGTCTGTTGGTAAGCAGCTAGACCTCAGCCTGTTGAGAAACCGCGTGATGGAAGCATCGGCTGTCGCACTGCATTTTTGCCAGTTCTCACGTCTTATTTGCACAGTGTTGTAACCATTCACTGGAAACCAATGTTCCACGATGCTACATCTGGCACCACTGTATGTTGTTTCCTCACTATCTCAGCTTCTCCACCTCCCACCCACCTACCATGGCACAGTACATGTGATTGGTGCTCGCTTCAGCCACCAATTTGGCTGAAAACCGTTATAGTGTCAATCTCACTTCAGAAATGACTACAGCATCAGTGGTTAATCCTGGTCTAGAAGTCAGGTCACACAACCCTGGTACACTACCACAACCCTGCTCACCCCCATTTTCATAATACAGAATAAATAAAATCACACTTTTAAGACCTCTATAAAACAGTTACCTACCATGTCTGTAGCCTAGTACACAGGAAGCTAAAAATAATGTAGAATATAAGCAACATAATTCATATGGCTGTATTTACTCATGGAAAAGATAAAATGTTTCTGTTTATATCCATCCCTCTTGCTTTAAAGGTCTGGTGGTAAACCATCAGCCACAGCAGATCATTTGCCATGGATATACACTACTGATGGCAGCAGATTAAAAAGTATGAAGGTTGGATAGCCTCCAATGCAATATCCTGACATTTCTATTTCTACACAGAACTATCACAATTC